ATTGATTATGTTTATTCACACCAGTTAGGGCTGACGAGAGAGGGACATGGATGGGCACTTGTTTTAGCGAAAAAGAAACATCTTCAGATTGTCCACAGGGAACAAACAGTATTAAACCCAAAAAATCAAAGCGTCAGAGAAGCACTTCATTACTCTGCTTTTTCCCTGCAGTATTCTGTCTGAGAGGATGAACTAAGTGGTTAATCAAGCTGAAGCATCTGCCTTGTTTGAGGGGCCAGGAGTAGACAGGAGAGGCCCATGGCTATGGATGCTCCACGGACCTTACACAAACACACACACGCAGTACGCACACACACCACATTACAAACACACAGGGAGGGAGTGGGCAGACGATGGAAGCAGACTCTCAAGAGGCTCGTGTCTGCCTCAGTGCCCAGCAGAGGTGAAGGTTCGCCCAGCTCTGAGAGGAGCAGCAGGCGTCCCACTGGGCAGAGGGGCTCTTTTGTGTGATGGTGAGGTGGATAGTGCAAACTACTTGTTGCATGTCTTTATATGACCTCACTCCTGAGAACTGAAGTATCATCATCAAGGCCTGATTGTCCAGCCAGAATTCCATCAAACTCTGAAACACTTTTATATTTAATGAACCATAGACTTTCTACAATGTTTCTGTTTCTATGTTTCTACATTGTGTTTTCCCGCAAATAACTTTTCTCAGAAGATGATAATCCACCGCTTTATTTTGATTCACACTGATCAGCATTGATCAGACCCAATTCAATTATAACTGCTTTGTTAGTGTTCATTGTCTATTAACCCAGTTGAGATTGCTATTATTCCTGGTATTTCCAGTGAAAATTTATAGTAAAAGCATGACGATGAAAAGCATTTTCCATTGATTCCAGTAGAGATTTCTAGTAAAAGCCTGATGACGATATCTCCTATATCGTGTTTAGTCCATAGACAGAATGTACGGTATGTGGTTGAACTCAGCAGGAGCTGACACTCAGTATTACCTCTGTGTGGACAGGGATGACCCAGTGCACCCTGGCAGACAGACAGAGTCGGAGAGAGAGAGAGGAGGCCCAGCGAGCCGAGCACAGAGATATTGTTTGATCTCCCCAGGACAGGTCAGGACTCAAAGATTTAGTGTGTGATCTCTGGTAGGGAGCAGGGAGAAGAAGGGAAGCATGGCCACCGGCCCACAGAGACCCCATTATAACCACACACATCAGGGAGGCCAGACTGGGAGATCAGTAGATCAGTAGCGGCATCAGGGGAAGGAATACTGGGTCAATAGTGTGTGTTGGTCAATAGCCTGAGTGTGTGTGCATGTGTGTTCTCTGTCCATATTTCTCTGTCTATATTTGCTTGCCTGTACTTTATCATAGGTAATATTGATCATACAGGCATATTGTATGTCATAGCATATAGCCATATCTTGACGTGGATGAGACAGTGACAGTATATATGTATTTAATTAATGACTTTAGCATGAACTTTAGACGGAAGGTGATGAATATTCCATCTCAAATTCAAATTCTTCAGAATGTTCACACAACTCATTACAGTGTTGAACTTTTTGTCCAAAAGTTTCAGAGAGACAGTCAGATTAAGATCAACTAATCTCTCTTATCTTCAAAACTGATCATCTTTTTATCCTTGATTCTGATCGATGCACTGTCTCTGTTCGCCAGGAGCCGTGTCAACTCAGCCTAGTCAAGTTACACAAAAGATAAATGTAAAAAAATGAAAATGTTTTTTAGATGGCAATTGTATGTGGCCTCATGTCTGGCTTACCTGTGCCTTTTTGATCATGCCGGAGCATGGAGATGGCATGGCTGGGCGTTTGATTCCAGGGGTACTTTGACAGCTCACAGGCTGGCAAAAGGCTGTCGGATGTCTGCAGGCAGATCAGACGAGATGGGGTGGAAATCAGAAGTCCAGCTGGGAGAAGATCAGAAGAGACACAAACTTCAGCGAGAGCCATTGTGAGGTACACAGACAGTGGCTCTGATAACTTTTCTGTTTCTTGTTTCTTTTTCTTTTTTCTTTCGGTACGGCCTTTTCAGAATTTTGAACGGCGCATTTAAAGGTCTGTGAGGTTTTGTCTGACTTTGACTAAAGAGTTATTTTATTTTTTATTTTATTTGCCTCTTGGGGTTTGGCTTCATGGTGGTGAATAACTGTTCCGTTACTTACAGTAGGCTCCACACATTCACATTGCACATGTTTCAAGATAGAGAGTTTTTGAAAAATAGATTTTTATCTCAACGAGACTAAACTGGATTCAATCCATATCGTGGAAGATCCGCTTTATAGCTCGATAAAAATGTAAGGGCAATGTTCCCGCGTTCGCGGAGACTGCATTCAAGGTAAACGCTGCATATGTCGTCTCAATCGAAATTACCTTTACATTTTTACACGGATCTTTCGCGATACTTCCACGTTACGGATTTAATCCAGCCCTTAATAAAAGTTAAATGTAAAAAAAATCTTATGGTATACTGTGTTTTTTACATTTTTAACCAGGTTGAAATTCAAGATACTGTATAGGAAGTTTTCAAATTACACTGAACAAAAATATAAACGCAACATGCAACAATTTCAAAGATTTTACTGAGTTACAGTTCATATAAGAAAATCAGTCAATTGAAATAAATTCATTAGGCCCTAGTCTATGGATTTCACGACTGGGAATACAGATATGCATCTGTTGGTCACAGATACCTTAAAAAAAAAAGGTAGGGGCGTGGATAAGAAAACCAGTCAGTGTCTGGTGTTACCACCATTTGCCTCATGCAGTGTGACACATCTCCTTCGCATAGAGTTGATCAGGCTGTTGATTGTGGCCTGTGGAATGTTGTCCCACTCCTCTTCAATGGCTGTGCAAAGTTGCTGGATATTGGCGGGAACTGGAACACGCTGTCGTACAAGTCGATCCAGCGCATCCCAAACAGGCTCAATGGGTGACATGTCTGGTGAGTATGCAGGCCATGGAAGAACTGGGACATTTTCAGCTTCCAGGAATTGTGTACAGATCCTTGCGACATGGAGCCGTGCATTATCATGCTGAAACATGGTGATGGCGGCGGATGATTGGCATGACAATGGGCCTCAGGATTTCATCACAGTATCTCTGTGCATTAAAATTGCCATCCATAAAATGCAATTGTGTTTATTGTCCGGAGCTTATGCCTGCCCATACCATAACCCCACCGCCACCATGGGGCACTCTGTTCACAATGCTGACATCGGCAAACCGCTGACTCACCCGACGCCAAACACGCAGTCTACCATCTGCCCGGTACAGTTGAAACCGGGATTCATCCGTGAAGAGCACACTTCTCCAGTGTGCCAGTGGCCATCGAAGGTGAGCATTTGCCCACTGAATTCTGTTACGACGCCGAAATGCAGTGAGGTCAAGACCCTGGTGAGGACGACGAGCACGCAGATGAGCTTCCCTGAAACGGTTTCTGACAGTTTGTGAGGAAATTATTCGCTTGAGCAAACTCACAGTTTCATCAGCTGTCTGGGTGGCTGGTCTCTGACAATCCCGCAGGTGAAGAAGCCGAATGTGGAGGTCCTGGGCTGGCGTGGTTACACGTGGTCTGTGGTTGTGAGGCCGGTTGGACGTACTGCCAAATTCTCAAACATTGGAGGCGGCTTATGTTAGAGAAAGTAACATTAAATTCTCTGGCAATAGCTCTGGTGGGCATTCCTGCAGTTAGCATTTCAATTGCATCTGTGGCATTGTGTTGTGGGACAAAACTGCACATTTTAGAGTGGTCTTTTATTGTCCCCAGCACAAGATGCACCTGTGTAATGATCATGCTGTTTAATCATCTTCTTGATATGCCACACCTGTCAGGTGGATGGATTACCTTGGCAAAGGAGAAATGCTTACCAACAGGGATGTAAACAAATTTGTGCACAACATTTGAGAGGAATAAACTTTTTGTTGCTATGGAACATTTCTGGGATCTTTTATTTCAGCTCATGAAACATGGGACCAACACTTTACATGTTGCGTTTATATTTTTGTAAAGTGTAGTAAATACTAGTCTATATTATACTCCCTAATCACATACTTTAGGCTTTATCCTTTTCTAATTCTTATTTTTTAAATAAGAATATTGATGGCATTGCAGTTTTTTCTTTCTTGACCACATCTCTTCCTCACATTTCACACAAATATAGACATCTTAGTATCAATACCATATTAGAATGTAACCTTTTGACTTCATGCAGGTATCACTAAATGCATAATTTCAGTTTTTCCTTAGAGTTCAGTATTCCATGGTGTAGTATCCATAATATGCCAGTTAAAGGTGCAATCTGCAGTTCAAAAAATAACAAAGCGGCCACACCACTTCTAAATTGGTAAATAGCTTAGGGATTGTGGCTGGAGAAATGTTACCACTCTTAAATTCATAGACAGAGCTATGGATGCTCAGTCCTTGCATAAAAGTGATAGGTTTAACCGTGTTTTGAGGCAATACAAACAAAGGAGTAAAACAAGCTTATATTTTAGGTTCTGATGCGGTAAGACAATTTAACTAAGCTCATGAGGAATTTATAAGTTATATTTTTGAAGAATCAATGGGTATATGAATTTTAAAGTTTAACAAATCGTAACAATTGCAGATTTCCCCTTTAAGTGTTTGATTGCCAGCTGAACGGTGTGGTAATGTCTCCCTCTAGTGCTTGTTACACATAATGCTTGAGGTGAAGCATACATTTCTGATGAAATGTCAGAGACAAATTGATAAGATGCAAATGTGGAATTCAAGGTGTGGCGGGGAAGCAATGACTATTCAATTTGTGAAAATGCTATTAATAAACTGTTTTGGTTCAGGATTCTGTTTTATAAAGAACTCATTCGTATTCTGGAAATATTTAAAATCCATCTGCAGGTTTATGTCAAAGTAGCTTGTATGACGCCAATGTAAAATCATTAATAAAGAGAGTGAGGGTGGCGCTGTTGTCCAAGATGTTTACTTTTGAGCTAAATATAATTCTAGACATAAGCAATCGATCAACAATGTGGGTTGGCTGCTGTACATTCGTAGTCTGCACTGTGCGCTGCACTTGAGGTTGGACCGCCAGCGTCTGCAATTGCAACAAAGTATATTTTGCAACAAAGAGGACGATGGCAACATCCGTGAAATTGAACAGCGGTGCAGACATGCCCATTCTCGGTCTCGGGACGTGGAAGGTTTGTTCTAAATTTAGCAAGTAATCCCCTTTACTTGTAGTTTGTCAAGAAAGCTAGCTAGCTATGCTACTAGCTAGCTAGCTCCAACTTTTTGAGTTCTTGGTCTTTGAGCTAGTTAGCTACTTTGGAAATTACATAATAGTATGCATTCATGACAAATGAATACGTAGCTTTCTCTCTTCCGTTATTAATGTAATTATAATATATTGTCAAGTACTTTTCTCTCTATATACATTTGAATCCACAAGGGAGGGACCGTACATTTGCAGGCTACTGAATATTTTTTTTCCCTTTCTTTTTATTATTGGACCATCCACCATCCCCACTTCGAAGGACAAAAATAACTTTGTTTTTACAGCTTTTTCTTTTTTGTTACATGTACATTTTACATACATTGCACTTTTTTTTACACAGTAGTTACATAGCAAAATATAGTTATTTGACACATTACATCTGGATACATAGTACTTTTTCTTTATTTTTACTATTTTCTACATTGTAGAATAATAGTGAAGACATCAAACCTATGAAATAACACATGGAATCATGTAGTAACTAAAAAAGTGCTAAACAATTCAAAATAGATTTTATATTTGAGATTCTTCAAATAGCCACCCTTTGCCTTGATGACAGCTTTGCACACTCTTGGCATTCTCTCAACCAGCTTCACCTGGAATGCTTTTCCAACAGTCTTGAAGGAGTTCCCACATATGCTGAGCACTTGTTGGCTGCTTTTCCTTCACTCTGCCGTCCGACTCATCCCAAACCATCTCAATTGGGTTGAGGTCGGGGGATTGTCGAGGCCAGGTCATCTGATGCAACACTCCATCACGCTCCTTCTTGGTAAAATATCCCTTACACAGCCTGGAGGTGTGTTGGGTCATTATCCTGTTGAAAAACAAATGATAGTCCCACATAGCCCAAACCAGATGGGATGGCTTATCGCTGCCGAATTTCTTGCGGATCTATTTGGACAGTGCACATTCGGATCAAAATTATTGTTAATTAATATCATCACCCCTTTTGAGTTTATTTGCCCATGACAGAAATATTTCTTCCTCCCTGTCCTTTTTCCACACAACCTCATCTGTAGTTGTAGAATGAGTTTCCTGTAAACAATAGCTATTATATTCCTCTTTTAGCCAGGTAAAGACTGATGTTTTTTTTTAAAAATCTGCTAAGCCATTACAATTACAGCTAGCTATACTTATTTCACCACTTACCATAATGAGATACCAATTTCAATTATACTTACCATAATATGTGCCTGTAAACTTACTACCAAAAACTACCATGATGATCAAGCTGCTTGACACCCTGAATTTATCCATACTTACTAATACTACCAGAATCAATGCCATAATACATGCACTGCTAAACATACTGTAGCTGCAACTGACTCTAAGTAGACCTCCAATTGTCTTTCCAATATCCCTCCTGGGAAAGCCTCCCCCATCCCAGAAGGGTCTGTTGTCCCTGATACTATCATACCACCCCTGTACCGATTGGCTACTGAAGATCTTAATAATGTTGTAGTTGAATCATTCTGTTTCCCTCTCCCTCCTCTGTACCAGTCCCCTCCAGGTAAAGTAACTGATGCGGTGAAAGCGGCCATAGCTGCAGGCTACAGGCACATCGATGGGGCCTTCATCTACCAGAACGAGACAGAGGTGGGAGAGGGCATTCATGCCATGGTCAAGGAGGGGGTGGTGAAGAGAGAGGAGCTGTTCGTGGTCAGTAAGGTGAGATACAATGTCACTGTCTGCAGGACAGTTTTCTGTGGTCTCAAGTTTGTACCACTGACATTGCAGTGAGAAGTTGAACCACTCTTTAATATGCTTCTTAAAATAAACAACTTGATATCAAGGCTGTATGATTGAAATGATCAAATCTTGGCTAGTGAATTTGGGGTTTAGATTGAATTGAGGAAATTGGGTGGTAGTTACGCAAGTCAAGCTTGTTCTCGTTTCAGCTGTGGTGCACATTCCATGGGAAGTCTATGGTGAAAGAAGGCTGTCTGAAGACTCTAAGTGATCTCAAACTAGACTACCTGGATCTTTATCTGATACACTGGCCCATGGGCTTTCAGGTGAGACTAATACCATTTTAACACTATCTCACTTGTAGCTTTTTTTGCTCAAGTAGGCTCCATCATTGGTTTATGGCAGGGGTATTCAAATCCAAGCCTGGAGGTATGGCGTGCTGCTGGTTTTCTGTTCAACCTGATAATGTCCCAGGACTAAATCAGTCCCTGATAAGAGAGGAAGAATGAAAATCAGCAGTAGAACTGGCTTCAAGGTCCAGGTTTGAATACCCCAGGTTAATGGTGTTGTAAGAGGAGTGTCTAATGACTTTTATAATTGTTGAACTACTATTGTTGTTGCACAGCCTGGAGAAGCCCTCTTCCCTACGGACAGCAATGGAAATAATATCGATGATGGGTCCAAATTCCTGGAGACATGGGAGGTGAGTCAGTGAGAGAGGACGCGTCCTCTAAGACACTATAGGACACTGTACAGTTCTCTTCAATTCAACATCACTTAAACTGGGTTATATTCATTAGACAGCAAACGGACTGAAACAGGGACTACCTGGTCCAATAAGAGCCGCTCATTTTAGTTTTCTGTTGTGTGCCCTAATTAATACAACCCTGAGTTTATTGTAATCTATCACACTTTGGTTATGCTGTATTGACTTGTCTGATCTGATGTTGTCCTGTATACTAGGGTATGGAGGAGCTGGTGGATGCTGGTCTGGTCAAGGCTATCGGTGTCTCCAACTTTAACAAAGACCAGATTGAATCCATCCTGAACAAGCCAGGCCTCAAGTATAAACCTGCCAACAACCAGGTACTTACTTTCCTTCATTACTGAATGAGAGTTTACTAATACTGATAGTCACTGAAAAAGCTCACAAGCCTGGGATCAACACAATACATTGTGAATCACACAATGCTGATCCTATATTCTTATGTGATGTTAATTGTATCTATCAACCTTCTTCTAAATGAGACTTTTCAGGACACTGAGCACCCAACGCTTGTTTTAAACATTGTCAATATCCCTGCCCCATTGTCTTATTCACAGTGACAGCTTGGTTAGATAAAGGCCAGTTTAGTGTCTTATAGTCAGCCTCTTTCCCTGAGGCAAGGCAGCAATGCTTTGGTGACCTTACATTCCTGCTGTTTTCCAGGCACATCTATCCCAATAGACATCCTGATTAACGGGACATATCAATCTGATTATCTTGTGCTTTCTATTGTCACCATACTGAACAGCCTCCCAGGCCTCCCGAATAAACTGCATAACTTTATGGGGCTTATTTAACAGTAATACACAATGGGTCTTAATTAAATTTGATTTGTAATCCACCATATAATACAATTCTGTATGTTTAGCAACATAAAATACCACTTCACTTATACTACAGTACATCCCATGTGTTGTAATAAGAACTGTATGTGAAGTGAATAACCTCACAAATGATTTCTACTGACAGGTTGAATGCCACCCGTATCTGAACCAGGAGAAGTTGGTCAACTACTGTCACTCTAAGGGCATCTCTGTGACAGCCTACAGCCCCCTGGGGTCCCCAGACAGACCATGGTGAGTACATACTTTAACTAATAATACCTAAATGATATACACTGAGTATACAAAACATTAAGAACACCTGCTCTTTCCATGACAGACTGACCAGGTGAATCCAGGTGAAAGCTATGATCCCTTATTGATGTCACTTGTTAAATCCAATATTGCGACTCATTATTAGGAAGGTGTTCCTAATGTTTGGTATACTCAGTGAACATTCACCTTGTACATGAATGATGAACATACACAGCCATTTGCAGTTCTCCCTGTGAAAAGATTGTAACACTGTGTGTCAATAACAGGGCCAAACCAGAGGACCCTTCTCTGCTGGAGGATCCCAACATCAAGGCCATCGCTGAGAAGCACAAGAAGACCTCTGCCCAGGTACAGTACTCCAATACCCTTTTCACATTATAGAGCCAACCCGAACCATACTGATATTTTCTTTAACCTGTGATCACATTTACATGTCCGCTTTTCTCTCTCCGTCATCCTCACTTCAGGTCCTGATCCGCTTCCATATCCAACGGAACACGATTGTGATTCCCAAGTCTATCACCCCCACACGTATCCAGGAGAATTTCAAGGTATTATCCCGCAGAAATGTGATGTGTGTCATCTGTTTTAGTTCACACGTGGCTTTGGGGTAATTGTGTCTTTTTGAACCATGCAGGTGTTTGACTTTGTGTTGAGCGACGAGGAAATGAAGACCATTCTGGGCTTCAACAGGGACTGGAGAGTCTGCCCAATGACAGGGTGAGACTACGTGGTTTATTTTGACCCATGTATTTTACTGTATACTCACTCTCTGCAGAGGCTCAAACTGTCTAAACAAGTATTATGAAGTTCCCCCAAATTTCAGTCAAATCATCATTTTATTGTGATGATGACAGCTATGTTTATTATAGTGTTACTTTTCTTTGAATGCAAATATACTAAGTGTTTATTTGATTTCTGAACATGGGAACAACTGTTCGTTTTGTTTTTCCTTTGTCACCCAGGAGCATGAAGCACAAGGACTACCCCTTCAATGCTGAATTTTAAGGAAACAGTGGATTCACAAAGTTACATCTGGTGCTGTGGCTCACTTGATGTCTGCTCTCTCTCTGTTCTTGTTTAGATTCATTCTTATTTCTCCCTTTAAGACAATGTGCATAAATAGCCGTCCTTGAGCTAGTTTCTAGCGATTACAGACTGTGATTTAGTATCTGTGTGTTGCACAATGCAGTTGCAGTATTGTATTTCTCATGAGATATACACTCTGACCTATATTATTGCTTTCTACCATAGCTGAATACACAATGGTCATTATTTTTCAACAATCATGGAAACATCATTTGACATAGGATCGATATTAGTGAAGTGTAAAAACAAAGCTTGTGAGTTTGGTTACTAGTTTGGTAGGAAATCTGGAGCCTTGGATTTGCTAACGCACAAAGTGTGTGGCTTCTCACATGACTCAGTTTGTTTGTGTCTCTTTGGATTTGAGTCTCTAATGGTCTCTCACAAGCGTTTATCAATGAGCCTCCACATTTACAGGCCATATAATAACCATATGACTTTAAATAATCAATGTTAACCATAAGAATTCATAGTTCCACCATAGGAGTTGGGTATGTCATACCTGGTCTTAATGTAGTAATGATGTACAGTATTACATATCATCTGTGAGATATTTCATTTAAATCCATCTGGTTTTGTTTCAGGGATAAAAACAGCCACAGTGGAAAGTTGGCGTGAAATGTAGACATAGCTTATCCTAATAGTACATTGACCTATGTACATGAAGATATTTTGTTGAACACTCCTTCCCTCAAATGCCTAGTCATATGAGCCCTTTTGCCTAGAATGAGTCATCCACACTCCTTCCCTTACAGGATGATAAAGCACTTCTACTCATTGACTTTGACTTGTGTGGTGATACTGTTGTGAAATTCCCATTTCCCTTTATTTTTTAATATAAAGCTTTCTTTGCTTCAGTCATTTTGTGTGCTTATATAATATTATACATGCAGATAAGGAAATATTGATATATCAAGGTAGTCAGTTAGAAGTTTATATTTCAGGATTAGAATCTTGTTTCAAAATATGTAGAAATACATAACATCTTAGTGCAGAACATCAAGAAATTCTGGAATGAGTCACATTTTACTGTGTAAGTTGTCAATGTTAACATTGTTTGAGATATCGCTAAAGAGCACTGTAATGAATTATAATTTCATAGAACGAGGAGCACAGGGACACCATGCTTTCAAAGGCACTTTCCAACTATGCAACATGCATAAACATGTTTAAACTCTGAACAAGTAAAGGCAACACTATTTGGCACTTATTACATTACACATTGACATTATCTGTGGATGTTCTGTTCAGCTACTGAACTTCTCTGTATCTCATGAACAATGTCAAAGTAGTGGTTGAATCTATATACAAATACTGGACTTCTCGCTGTATGTCCCCAGTGTCTTTCACAGACAGGAAGACAGGCACTACAGTATAGGAATGTGGGTGTCAGGTCAGTGTCCTTTGTCTTTAGCTCCAGTTCCACTCAGATGTTTCAGTACTCTGCATGCAGAGGGAAGTCTTTGTGCTTGTTGCCCCTGCAGTGAGGAGGAGGGTACGTCAGGGAAGAACAGGTAAAAGAGGAAAGTGGGGTTGAAGTCAGCATCTAGACAGTCTGGACTCACCATTCCATAGCGAATCCTCTCCAGTTCCTGTTGAAACCCAGGATGACTTTCATGTCTTCGTCATTCAGCTCGAAGTCCAACACCTGTTTGAAGGCGACAAAATAACAATGTAGAAGTGTGAAGGAACCGGTGACTTGAAACCAAAAGATTGTAGGGGGGGCGCAACTCAATATTAGGAAGGAGTTCCTAATGTTTTTCACAATGTGTATACGACGAGAAGTGTAAGAAGTGTGAAGAGGTCTGTGGCTCTGGTGTAAGGATCTTGCCCCCCCAAAGCACGAGGTTGTAGGTGCGAACTCAGGTGCCAGCTCTTGAGCATGGTTGGGTACTGAGGACTGCTGGTCAGTGAGTCAAGGCCACTTCAGGGAGTGGCTGCCACACAATGATGCCCGGAGGGCAGTGGAGTTGGCTAGAAGGGCGTGACAAGCGGACGGGCTAAACCACTCCTGGAAAAAGTGGGCACTTCGTTTTTAAAATGGAGATGTGCCCACTTTTCCAGGAGTTTTTCTCCATAACTGCTGCTTTTCACAGGAGGGGACCCCAGGTATTTACCTCCATGAGTTCTGAGAGCCTTCAAACTATCCTGGAGAATCAACGCAACCACATTCAGGAGCTGAGCCTGGGATCGAATCTACAACCCTGTACATCAGAGGTAAGATTCTTACCAGAGCCAACGGCTCTTCCACACTTAGAACTGCTCTTCATACATGACATTGAAAGCTGAAGAAAACAGACGAGATGAGATTTGAACCTAGAACCTCTAGGTTGGGAGGCTGGGATTTAACCTCTGAGCGACCAACTCCTTCAGGATTCTGTCTTTCCAGAATTGTCCTGTGTAAGCACGCCCTTAGAATGCACTTACAGTGATTTCCACATCTCTATCTAGGCAGTTATATGTGATAGGAAAAGACACTGCCAAAGTTCGCTTCCATCCAGTTATAATTGTCAAAAAATACCTGGAAATTTTCCTTGATCCGGGAGGGCGTAGCCGACTTGGGAATGACGATCACATTCCTTTGGATTTGAAAGCGGATAAGGACCTGTGGAGAGGATAAGAACAAGGATTGGTCACTTGACTGACCCTAGACCAAGACTCCTTTTACCCAGCCAAAGAATGTAACTGTTACCATGTGAGTGTTGAACCATCACCCAGATGACATAGTTTCAAAACAATGATTCTTATGTTAGAAAGACTTGGAAAACAGCCAAAACCTTGACAATTGATTGTCCCCATTCTAACCCCTAGCCGTTTTCATTAAACGCTACACATGGGACCCATATCCAATTTCATACATAGGCTAATCATTGTATATAAATCTATCAGCATATATAATTGTACTGTAAGGTTATTTTGAAGAGTGGTACATCAGCCGTGTTAACCTCAACTTGAATGGACTTTCATTGAAAATGGAGAATGTCACAAATTACAGGAGTAAGCATGTTTGAGAACACGGTTGGTTCTGCCCTTTGTATTCCCTATAACTAGGGCCCTGTGTTTGGTGCAATCATGTGACATGCCTGGATTTTAACTTTATTTTTATTTTTTTATTGTCAGCTGGTCCAGCACCATCCTCAGACAATTGCTTTCATTTTTGGTGTAATTGAATATTTCTGGATAAGGTTTCAAATACAGGATAAAATCTGGCTACAGTATGTCACTACAGGCAGAATTAGGGGAAAGTTCACCGTTTGTAGAGGTTATTGTTGTTTCTCTCATACCTGTGCTGTGGTCTTTTTGTGCTTATCAGCAATGGCCTTTATCTTTGGGTCCTCAAGCAGAGCTGGCTCACCAGGTTTCGCCCTGTTGAAAATGTAATTTATTTTAGTCTTCCTTATGTTGACACATGAAGTCAAACACACGTAATTTTTAATGGTGGGTGGGCCCTAAAATAAATCTGTAAGTAGGGAAAGAGTAGGGTACGACACTGCACACGCTCATTGAAACATTGTCAATAACCAATTAAATACAATGCATGTTTTGGATAATTTCAGTGTACAGGTCAATTGTACTTTATACACATTAGGAACATCTTATAAAAGTGTGATCTAGCTCACCATGGTCTGTCTGGGGAGCCCAGAGGGCTGTAGGCTGTCACTGAGATGCCTTTAGAGTGACAGTAGTTGATCAGCTTCTCCTGAGTCAGATAGGGGTGGCATTCAATCTGGAGGGACAAATGCAAAGATGAGGTGTTGGTAATACAGAGATGGGGCAGTAACGCCTTGATACAAACTGTACTGACTTGTTTTTGTCTGTCTTGATCATCGCAGACTACAGTACCTGGTTGCAGGCAGGTTTGTACTTGAGGCCTGGCTTGTTCAGGATGGATTCAGTCTGGTCTTTGTTAAAGTTGGAGACACCGATAGCCTTGACCAGACCAGCATCCACCAGCTCCTCCATAGCCTGTTCAATAGGTCAAGATCTAGCTCAGTAAACTGTCAAATGTCTTGTAGTATGATCTTGTTTGCTAGTGTTGGGGATGTTTGTTTTGGAATACAGTATACCATTTTTTGTTTTCCTTACCTCCCAAGTATCCAGGAAGTTGCTGTCACCTGCGATTACTTGTCCGTCTTCACCAATAGGAAATAGATTCTCTCCAGGCTGCAATGACAAACAAACTAGTTACAGGGGAATAGTCCTCTCACTCTTAACCAGGGATAGTTTGAAAGCTGATAGAGTAGTTTTATTGACACAGACACACACAGTACCTGAAAACACATAGGGAAGTGTATCAGGTAGAGATCCAGGTAGTCTAGTTTGAGGTCCCTCAGAGTCTTCTGACAGGCTTCCTTCACCATAGACTTCTGATGGAGAGTACACCACAGCTATTTGGGAGACACAGTAATATTAGACTGCTGCAGCGCATGTTGAAATACAATTTAAATGCCAATATAGCCTATGGACAAATTGAAGGGTCATGGTGATGTGTGGCAGTTGAGTAAGTGTGCACCCACAACAAATGATAGTACTAGCATGACATTGGTCACCATACAGAGCATGTACATGACATGACATGTATGGAGCTCTTTGTCTGCCTGGCATCTAGGGGGAAATCATAGTGGCTCCATGACCAAATCTACAAACATGACTAATGTATCTTGTGATTCTTTTCCCCTTTCTGGCACAGTGACCAAGTCGATAATCGTCCTCGTACGCACCTTACTGACGATGAAAAGCTCCTCTCTCTTCACCACCCCCTGGCCAATCATGGTGTGAATACCATCCCCCACCTCATCCTCATTCTGGTAACAGTACGCTCCGTCTATGTGTCTGTAGCCTGCAGAGATGGCTGCTTTCACTGCCTCTGCTACCTTGCCTGCTTCTGCCTGCACAGGGATTCAGAGGAATTACAGATTAGGGCCTAGATATTGTGTTCTATTGTGGTTACCTCACACTTTAGCCTATGTCTGAAAGGCTACATAATACTGTTGAAATACTAATCATGACAGAATTATGATTATACTGTATAATATAATCATCATCATCATTAAATATCACAGAGTTATGTAACTAAATTATGGCCTATGTTGGTAGGTCAAAAGTCAAGTATAGGCTAACCCCAGATTCCAAGTGTGACAGTAAAATATTTGTGCAAAAATAAGATGCTTAATCTTGGTCATCATCATAGTTCATTAAAACTCTCAGGATATATGGCAAATGAGAAGATGAACATGCCAGTAGCTGCCAAGGGAAAGAAGCAGTTAACTGCCAATTGTTGATTCCACGAGTTCAGTTCAACAATGATCAATGCCATCCATGCAAGATGACTAGAAGAAACAAATTGCGCTTTATCTTACCCTCCATGTCCCCAAGCCCACGATAGGCATGCTGGCCCCGGTGTTGAGAGTTACAGTGGGTGTGGGTGTCATCTTTAAAGATCTGCTGTAGTATCAATCCTAGGATGCTGGGTTGTGAGAGGAGAGGATCCCTGTATTCAGAGTAGAAGGAATAAGGAATCAGTATTCTCAGTTCAGCACATAAAGAGCTGAAACACAGATGTGAGGTGGTTATGGGGTTTATGTAGAGGGAGAGCGTCTGTGTTTGATTGGTTACGCCTGCCTCCCGCCCTCTACAGATAAAGGGGCCAGAAAAGGGAGTGACGGAGTAGCTGAATGAATCAGCATGTATGTGTGTGTGTGTGCATGCGCAGAGGGTTTGCTTGTCACAATGACAAGGGGACACATTGTTTGTTTAAATAATTCAGGGTGTGATGCAGCATGCATCTCATGCTAATGTTGATTGAGTTGAAGAACATACGATATAACATGATGTCATCAAGTATACAGCTTTTTTGGTGATCAGTATTTGTAGGTTGTCCATAGCCAGAACATCTTCCTTATACAAGGTAATAACCTGCTCACTGATAGTCTAGTGTTCAAATACAACATTACTGCAATATTGGAGTGATTTTTGATCTTGCAATTATTGTAATAAAAAGGACAAGTCATGGTGATTTCAAGTCAGTGACTCAAGCTGTAATGATTGAGTCACTGACTGTTGAAATAAGCATCATGTGCATACATGTTTTGTATGAAGGTGTGACTAGCATAAAATGTATGAAGGTGTGACTAGCATAAAAACACAATAGATTAGATTAAATGCAACAGACCCAGAACCACAGACTCCATATTTGATGCAGATCTGCAACAGAAGCTACAAAAGCATAGTTTACTAGATTTAAACCCACAAGCTATCTAGGTTAGGCATAAAGTTAGCAGTGTGGTTAAGGTTAGGTTTAAAATCACATTTTAAGAAGAGAAATTGTAGAAATGGACGGGGTTTATGATTTTGGCTGTGGTAACTAGTGATGGCCCTGAAGAGCCTGTCTAGAGGTATCTGGAGCCACAAACTAGCTAGCTAGCTTCTGCAGTGCACACACATTGTTTTATGCATGTTTATCTGAACTTGAGAAACAAAGGATGAAAAACTTAGATTGAACAGTACATTAGATTAGTCTACGCTTGGATTGAACCCATATCACCAGATAAAGACCTTAGCTACCCAGATAGCAAGAAGGATCCATGCCAAATCCATGCCTGGATCTATTGCAACATCTGGTCTGGATCCGTGAAACGGACCTGGGGTCCAGATGCACAACGGGCCAATACCGGCATGGTCTGGATTCCGGATCTAAAACAGAGTTGGGCCAGGACAGCCCTAGCGTTTTCCCAAATCTCCCATTCAAATTTTACCTCTGGATTGGCTCTGGGCCAGATCTGTATGAGCTCTGATTTTAACTCATTACTGATGGTGAGGTGTTCTAATTTTCTTACTTTAAATACTGTATGTTGAGCAATTAATTCAGATTCAAATTTAAATGGATTTTAACATATTTAACTTATTTGTGATACGTTTCCATCCAGACCATAACATTATCCTACCATAATTCTCATCATAACTGAAATTTTCAAACACACATACCTAAAGTATTGCAGTAATTATCTGTAAAAGCATACTGTATAGCAAATACTTAACCAAGGTAATCTACTGACTCAAATACTAAAATAAAACATAAAAAAATATTTATTGATTTTAAAATGTATTCAAATGTGTGTGCAAAGTGGTGTAATTGTTATACTTTTAAATTAAAGACATCAACCAGAAACATTTTCAATAAGTATACTGAACAAAAATATAAACGCAACATGCAACTATTTCAAATATTTTACTGAGGTACAGTTCATATTAGGAAAACTTCATTAGGCCCTAATCTGTGGATTTCACATGACTGGGAATACAGATATGCATCTGTTGGTCACAGATACAGTGGCTTGCGAAAGTATTCACCCCCCTTGCCATTTTTTCCTATTTTGTTGCCTTACAACCTGGAATTAAAATTGATTTTTTGGGGGTTTGTATCATTTGATTCACAAAACATGCCTAACACTTGGAAGATGCTAAATATTATTTTTTTGTGAAACAAACAAGAAATAAGACCAAAAAACAGAAAACTTGAGCGTGCATAACTATTCACCCCCCCCCCCCCCTCCCCTCTCATGCAGCGCAACACATCTTCTTCGCATAGAGTTGATCAGGCTGTTGATTGTGGCCTGTGGGGCATTAGGCCATGGAAGAACTGGGACATTTTCAGCTTCCAGGAATTGTGTACAGATCTTTGCGACATGTGGCTGTGTATTATCATGCTGAAACATGAGGTCATGGCAGCAGATGAATGGCATGACAATGGGCCTCAGGATCTTGTTACGGTATCTCTGTGCATTGAAATTGCCATCGATAAAATGCAAATGTCCGTAGTTTATACCTGCCCATACCATAACCCCACTGCCACCATGGGGCACTCTGTTCACAACGTTGACATCAGCAAACCGCTCGCCCACACGACCCCATACAAGTGGTCTGTGGTTGATAGGCCATACTGCCAAATTCTCTAAAACGACGTTGGAGGTGGCTTATGGTAGAGAAATGAACATTCTCTGGCAACAGCTCTGGTGGACATTCCTGCAGTCAGCATGCCAATTATACGCTCCCTCAAAACTTGAGACATCTGTGGCTTTTTATTGTCCACAGCACAAGGTGCACCTGTGTAATGATCATGCTGTTTAATCAGCTGCTTGATATGCCACACCTGTCAGATGGCAAAGGAGAAATGTTCACTAACAAGGATGCAAACAAATTTGTCCACAATCTGAGAAAAATAAGCTTTTTGTGCGTATGGAACATTTCTGGGATCTTTTTTTTTAGCTCATAAAACATGGGACCAACCAATGTTGCGTTAATATTTTTGTTTGCAACACAAAGACAAAGGCTTATGTTACTATCTCACCACTCCCATATTAAAATGCAATGGCATTCCATATATTGCATTATGACATTACAAATAATTAACAATTTACCGGTATAATCAGGTATTAGAAGTAAAGTGGAAGGTATTAGAAGTAAAGTGGCACTGCGGAAAGACCCACAAGAACAAATAGGGGCTGAAAATAAAACAAGCCAGGACCAAATGTGGAAGAGTGGAGATACAGGTGCAGCGCAAAGTTGTAGCACCTCGTAAGACACAGAACTCCAGTCCGGAAGCACCTCACAGCACTGGAGATCTCTCAGCACCCGTGTCACCTCAAGGCCGCAGGAGGGACCCATCTGATGCCACCCCAGAAACCCAAGCCCGACCAACCCAACCAACAACAGAAATAATGAAATGGCCAAAGATGAGCGAAACCAAGGAATGGAATCAACTAGACCAAGACCTCAACAAAGTCCTAGAATCACTAGCCGGGACAGCTGAACGGAAAGTTGACACCCTCACAAAAATCACTTATAATCTGGTGATCCTGCTGTTGTCACATGCTACACATGCACATATGTGTGCACATGCATCCATCTATCCAATGTTATCATGATGTGTTATAAGAGATATTATACTTTAGTAATCCACAATGACCTGGCGATGTAAAAGTCTAATAATGGCATTATCTTCCATATTCCTACAGATACCTTGCAACTGGAGATTCCTTTAAAACGATTGCCTACAGTTACCGTGTAGGGCACTGCACGGTTGGGTGATCAGGGCCATCTGGGACTGTCTCGTGGGGGAATTCAGGCGTGTGAAGGCTACCGGTGTCCTGCATAACTTCATGAGGATGGACACGAGGACCAGGAGGGGATCTGCAGCTCGCTGCCGTGTGCCAGAGGAGAGGTCTGCTGCTCTGCAGGATGTTTCAAGGATGGGGGCCAACAACGCAGCACAGGAGGCAGTCCGTGTGCAGGAGATCTTCACCTCCTACTTCTTCGAAGAGGGTGCTGTTCCCTGGCAACACCATAGACTGCACTATGCACAATCAAAGGCTCTTTTAAGAGCCATCCACATTGCAATAAGAGTATTCTTCCATTTACTTAACTATGTCAACTGCAGTTATTCAATTCCCAGTTTCTCTCCCTTTGATTTCTACTTCTCAGGTGAGGGTGCTGTTTAGGTAAGGGTGATGTCTGTACAAAAACAAAACACCTACACACTCGCGTATCAATCTGATTGATGGATTGTGTGGTGCAGTAAGCAGGCTCAGGTGTATAACTGTGGCTCCTTCCAACTTCAAAGAATAGGCAAGAGGACCAACCATGGAGAATAGTAAGACTTCATTATTTCTATTTACAGTATATAACTACACTATATTGTTTGTCCTTAATCATGCTCTCTCTCGCCAACCCCCAGTCCCGTCATCGCTACCTCACCCGCCCAAGGCTGGTTAGGAGACACCGCTAGAGACACTATTATGTAATTGTGATGAACTGAAAGAATATTAAGTTTAGTAGCACTGTAATTCATTAATCATATGCTGTCTTCCATGCTCCTCTTTTCTTACTTAATTCCCTTTCTGTCTTTTACACTCTCTCACACCTCTCTCCCCACCTTCTCTTTCTTCCTGTTTTTATAATGGACACCAGATGTGCATTGAAGTACAGATTGAACTTGAATTTATAATATAATATTACAATTATAATATTTCTATTAAAAATGGATTATGTATTTATAACACTTGGATAATTAACTTTTTCCAATAAAGCATTTCACATTATCTACTGGTTGAAATTAAGTCTCTCATTTGATGAAATACTACACCTATCCTGTGTCCTCAGATCAGTGCAGATGAAGGAAATTAGATATTGAGATGAACCTATGATGCATAGGAAGTGTAGTGTACTGTTTTTTAAATTCTGTTTCTGTATATATGAATTACAAATCAGCCTTTAACTAGTTAAATCATGTTTCTAGTCTATTGCATAGTTTCAATGTGTAACCAGTGATGTCCCAGGACCAGGATTGGTAAACACTGTTGAAGTGTATAATTGTAATACATACAGACACAGCATCATTAAAAGACTGGAGTTTTATACTCCTGGTATTGTATAT